CCCGTCCTGTCAGTTATGTTGCTGGCGGATTTGGTGATGATCAATGATGATGAATATTCAATTGGCTGAGTCTGAGCTGAGTGTATGTGTGTGATGTGGTACCTGGTAGCTGGTAGTGGTTCAGTTCAGGGTACGTGTACGTGCCATGTCATTGCAAATTGCAGTGACTATCCCAGGTTCAAGTTCTTCAAGGAGTCCTCGAATCACCAATGGCTTGCTGAAGATCCTTCAACCCTTCCGGCTGTGGCAATGGCTTCATGTTCACGGTCGCCAGCGGCTAGGGCAATCCAAGAGTACGCACACATGATGCTGCAAACTCCCGAACTTCTAGAAGGCAGGCAGAAGTAGTTGTCATCTATCAACTTCCGCCACTGTCAGATCAGTCGGTAGCTGTACACGTAGATAAACAGATCAGGCTTGAATCCTGGTGATTTGCAGATGGCGCATTTCAGCTTGCACTCCATCATGTCTCATACGTGGCATCGACTGGTGGTGCCATTCCAGGTAAGTTGGCTCGAGTTGATTCGAATTCAAGTGCTTGGTTGAGTCAAGTCGGTCAACATCATATGTTGACTTTTATCACCCAGGCTTGGCCGATGAAGCTTAGCCTGATCTTGGACGACACACTGTCCCGTGACGAGAAGCTGGCGGTTGCGACTGAGTTCTGCCAAGCGAACACATGCTGCTTGGACAAGCATTTCTCACAGAAGCTTCGGGCATTCATGCAGGCCAGACGTACAACTCATGTGCTTTGTCCTTGTCGATTGCCGCCTACTACAGCTTCATTACTTTGCATGATTGTGCAGTGCAGGCAAGCAACCACGGACCCAATGATCTGCTGCCTGGTGGGCCACTGTATCCTCTAGCGAGAGCCCTGGAGCATTCTAGCTGGGTTTTCGCCATGTCAATGTTATTGGCTTTCTGTCTTCTGCTGAGATTGCAGATAACTAACAAGTACTTAGTACTGAGTCGAGTACGTGGCATATCAAGGTCGTTCAGTTAATCTGTTCCACACGACCCAAGACTCCATGAGCTGTAGCTGTAGGTGAAAACTGCAAGTATGAGAAAGCTCATCAATGCGGAGATCGAGACCAATTTTGCACGAGCTGCGTCGCAACGTGCGTGACTTGGCAAATGATGGTGCCGCCAACAAGTCACTCCTCTTGCAAGTTCCTGAAACTTGACACATCATATCGGTGACTGGCAGCTGCAGATAGATCTTCAATATGTGTGTTTTCTGACTTAAGGTCTACACGTGGACGTGGACAAGGCATTGCCGGGATGGCAACTTGTGTGCAATGTGGTGATTTGCTAGTGCTGTAGAGTAGTAGCAGTCGCAGTAGTGGTGTTTCGGTGAGTGAGTGTCCAATTTCAATTCTCAACTTGTAACTTGCAGTAAAAAATCGATTCCCACTGTTCAGTGTCCAGAACAGTTTTGGTTAGCGGCTAGCCAAGGCAGCGAAGTTCATCTTGACTGAGATCCAGAAGGAACATCAACGATTTTGCGTGGGCAATGCATCGGCAACCTCGGCAGACGGTGCATCTGGATCCAGTGTCGCAGGAGTGTTCATGAATACAAGCCTGACAAGCCATGTTTTTGCGTAACAATAACAACCATGAATCACGAACCCATCAGTTTGCAAATCCAGTCAAGTCTAGTCGTCAGTCAGGACCGGCAGTCTCAGACGATCCGCCCAAGACCAAGATATACAACGGATTCACGCTGTACATGGCGAACTGTTTGCAGAACAAGGCGGCACACACACACACACACATAATACATACATACAGTGCAAGTTTCCAGCCTATTGGAATATGTCATGTCATGTTGTGTGAACACAGGTGACACAGCCGGGCGAAACTGCAGAACAAGCGCGGAAGCGTGTGTGGCATGATGCAGTTGCACGCTGGAGGAACACTCCCGCTTTGAAGGAGGTCTGCACATATTGAAGTTATGCATGATCATTGCCAGGGAATGCATGTTTGCCTCTAGGCTCTAACTAACTGCAAAGTGAGATCGGAGATTCTTGTTAGGAGATGAGTCAGCGTGCACAGATCGTGAATGAGACCAATCGGGCAATGTTGGTTGCCAGTGCCGGCGATGCTAATGGGCTGGTTCCGAGTGCTGATGAGCCGCATGAGCAGCCACATGGCATGAAAGCGTTCGATCTTGCTGGACTGTCAGACATGCACTTCGCCATAAGTGAGGAGTCATTGAAAAAGGCCAGAAAGGCTCACCATGGCAATTGGGTCAAAGACAATCACCGCGCATTTTGTGCGGCATATGGCTCATTGACTGTTCGCGCAGGCCACGGTGCTGAGCAGGAGGATGATGTGCCAGAATCTGCGTGCCAGTCCCTATATTGCCCGGGTTTGTGCAGACGGTCTGTTGTAGCTGTTGGAGAACAATACGACACGTTTCAGGCGGAGTGCAATGCTTTGCTCAGGCGCCTGAGATCTGTCAGACGTGAGAAGGGATACATACCCTGGCATGGCGTTCTGTTAGTGATGGACAACGAAACCCAAACGATTCTGCAAGTCCACCTGCTGACTCGGATTTCCTTTTCTCCTTTTGACTTTTCAGCGCTGCAGATGAAGCTTCCACCGAACGGTTCATTGCCGATGTGTGTGGACACTGACATTACCGGTGTTGACTCGAATGTGGGTGTTGTTTTGCGCAACAAGGCCTACCTTTTGTATGAGCTCGCATCAAAGCAAGGTTGTGTCTTGGCCACCACAAACTACAAAGCTGTTTCTCTGCGAACAATCAGTTTGGATGGTGCGGTGGAAATGCTGTCTGACATACGTGCTGGAGTGAGTGGCAGTGCGGGGTCACGTGGCCGTGGCAGCATTGGATGTGATTCGGACAGTGATAAGGACGAAGCGATTGTTGGTCAACTTCAGTCAATGTTGAAACGTGCATCCCGTGGACAAGCAGCACCGAAGCAACAACCTCAGAGAAGGAAACGTAACAACACACCCTCCAGCCACACTGTGCGTAAAAAGCCCCGGACTGCAGAGAGCGCATGCCAAGCGATACATGATCAGGCTAGCCAGGTCGATCAAGACATCGAGGCGGCGTGGATTGATGCAGTTATCGAGGAATCTGGCGATATGCCAGTTGCGGTTGGTATGCATGAGCCTGCTTCGTCATCAGGGGCACAACGGGCGACGGGGCAAGAAACGTCGCAACCAGCAGGAAACCAGCGACGCAAGCCATGGAAGGATGATAAAGGCTACTGTTTTGCCATGATACAATCTTCTTCTGGGGATGATCGACAAAAGCATTTGGGTGGCTTCGCCTGCATGACAGACTGACACTGTTCCAGTGCCGCGTGAGTCAGGTGACAATGACAGTGACACGTCACATGCTGCTTTCGCGATGTAAGGCCGCATTACAGAGATACGACCGGGGACTCCGTCACATGCGGTCAGCATCCGGTGTAGCGCCTCAGAACAATTTCAGACGTGAGCCGCGTCGGTTGTGATGTGCTGTCCTGTCGTAATATTATGTGGTTTTGTTAAGTTCTATCTTCGTCAGGCCTTCATTCGAAATGCTGCCAGTTGGTATCTGTGAACAAACTTCCGAGCAATTGTGAGCATGCTCTTTTATCCTGGCTTCACGCTGGCGTGGGCATTCCTGAGCGTTCGCAAGCGGACGAGCACAAGAAATTGCGACCCGACCAGCAGGTAATTTACGTAGGCTGCGGCTGTGGCATGGTTGGTTGCACTGCGGTTGTAGTAGCCTTGTGACTTATGACTTATGGTGTCGTGTGTGCGGCTGAGTGTCAGGTTCAAGACTTTCGTTTCATCAGCGGCCTCCTGAGAGTCGCATTGCTGCCACTGGGCTGGGGTGAGCCACGGAGCTGTTCCAACTCGTACGAAACAACCGTTTGCAGTTTGCAGTTAGTTTGCAGTGCAGTCTGCGTTGTGCGGTGGAAGTGCCAGTGTCTGTGAGCGGTGAGTCAGAGATGTAACGGTGCATGCGCATGCATTGAAGTCAGTGCAGCTTATGTCCTTGAAGCTTGACATTTGACGTTTGCTGCTTCTTGGTTTAACACAACACAGCTCTCTCATTAGAACACCACCCAACCTCGCTGCCCACCATACTGACATGGCTGGACGAGCGAAATCACTCACTGCACAATCTGCGGCTGCTGCCCCAGATCCTCCGGCAGGTGTGCAATTCCCGGCAACTTACGTTGCTAAGCGTTGCAAGAGATGCGGCATATGGAGCACAAGCCGCTCGAAGTACGACCAGCAGAAGAGTCCAGAATCCCAATGGGGACTCTGTGCAGCGTGGGCACGCGGAAAGCCAGACGAACCGGTTGGATTTCATTGTCTTTGCTGCAAGAAGGCCGGCCTGAGGGGACTTTAGCTGTTGCAGTTGTAGTTGCAGTGTTGAAGGTTTAAAAGTTTAAAAGCTAATAGTCTGTTAAAGGGATTCAATCTTTAATTGTTGACTGTGACTGTAATACATGTCGTCCCGCAGTCCCGCATGGTGCTTCTGTTGGTAAACCCCTGCACCCTGCACCCTGCACCTGCACCCTGCACCCTGCACCCTGCACCTGCACCCTGCACCCTGCACCTGCACCCTGCACCCGCACCCTGCACCCTGCACCTGCACCCTGCACCTGACCCCTGCACCCTGCACCTGCACCCATTTAGCATTACATCTGGAAGGTTTAGCGTAGCATATGTTATGCTAAACCTTCCAGATGTAATGCTAAATGGGTGCAGGTGCAGGGTGCAGGGGTCTGGTGCAGGGTGCAGGTGCAGGGTGCAGGGTGCGGGTGCAGGGTGCAGGTGCAGGGTGCAGGTGCAGGGTGCAGGTGCAGGTGCAGGGTGCAGGGTGCAGGGTGCAGGGTGCGTGTGTATCCGGTGTACCCCTCAGTCCCTTCATCCACCCTGGCATGCATCATGTGTGGAGTGAGTTTGTCTGATCATCCGGGGCGCTTCAGGTGGCAGACATTGGCGGCTGGATTCTTACCTATGGGTCGATGGCTGCATTGGACCGAGCTCTCGATTCAGATCCGTGTGCTAACCACAAGTTTCTTGAGCAGCAAGATACCTTCATTGCACGAAAGGTTGCAAATCCGTCAATGCGCATCGGCAAGCTGGACACAACCTTCCAAGCAGAACAGGTGGACGTGATGGAGGCAAAGACCCAGGGCTTCAAAAAGCCCAAGAGAAAGTTTATGGCGCTGGACGTTTATGAGGCGAAATATGGAGCAGCTGACCCCACTAGAATCAAAACACAAAAAATAGACGGCACCACCGTGAAGGGCATTGATATCATTGAGGAATCCGACATTGGTATCTACGAATACATCGACGAGACAACATCCTCTGTGACACGAACTACATCACTATCGAACCCAGACCTTATCCTGTCAAAGGACCAGACAACAACAATTTTCAACGCCGTGGCAAAACAAATGACCTCAGCACCAAAGGACGACACGACATGCACAGTCATCCCGGGATCATCGGCTTCTTCATCTGGTATGAAGGCGCCAACTGACTTTGCTGGTGGCGGCGGTGCGGAGAAGGACCCATGTGGTTTTGTTATTGCTAGTTGTTAGTTGTTAGTGTGATAGCTTTTGTTTGATCAAAGCACTCAACTCGATATGTGCAGGACGCGTCTATGCCAGACGCCGCCAATGATGAGGAGGACGATGATGAGGATGCCTTTCCTTTTGCAGAGTTGTTTGGGCGATTGAAGTCATCAGTGGCAAAGGCGAAACCAGCTCCGGCAAAGCCATCGGGGTCCAAGGTGGCGGCTTCGGCAGCTAAATCCAAGGGCTCGACTCGCAACAAACGGGCGACGGATCCTGACAGCGAGCCTGTCTTGCCGCCAAAAGCAACCCGCACAGCAGCCGAACCCAAGACAAGGCCAGGGCCAGGGCAACGACCAGATGCATTATCTCGTGATGATGAAGACAACCTTGCCAAATTTACGGAACAGGTCAATGGTTTCCTTGAGCTGCAGGCGGTGGACGCAGAGGATGATGCGGCATTCACGTCATGGTCTAAGGACAAGCTTCAGGCAATGACGCTGCTGAAAATCCAGATTAGCAACAAGAAAAAATCCTTGAACCGCCGCAGCAACAAGGATAACACCAACTTGATCCCTGAGCTGGATGAGCTGGTGGTGAAGCTCAACACGATCATCGACTTTGTGCGCAAGCTGTCGGCGGGCACGGTCGAAGGGAGAAGATTGTATGATGCCATGGGAGAGATTCATGAGCTTAACGTGTGCACAACGATTTGGAAACGGATTCTCAGAGCGGTTGCATTCGATGCGCTGAAGTTGGCACAGTGGGATTCATTTTTCGGTGAAACTCATGCATTGTGTGTCGAACATGTTCCGGACCATGGCACATTCTTCCAGATCCTTGCATCGCAGTTGTTGCAGAGGCTTCTCAAAGCGATCCCCATGGGAAAGCCGATCACCGGCGAGACAACATCCTAAATCAAGGGGTTCGTTGTGGCTGCCATTGACCACGCCGCCAAGACCCTTTCCACCGGGTGGACAGCTGAGGACCACCTCGACTTCCTCAAGTCGATCAAAGACGTGGTCGATTTCTCCACGCCCCCAGCGGTTATCAAAAACGCGATTGCCAGGTTGAAAACAGATGAGGGCGACGAGAAACATTGGGCGGCATCATCGTTTCAACTTCCGCACGGAAAGAAACTCTTTGAAGCCGCAACAGCAAATGCAGTGCACAAAGAATCCCAGGCTGGCGTCTTGGATGTGCTGCATCAAGCAGAAGAACGCATGACAACGTCAGCAATCTGCACGTTCGAGGCGTCCTTCATGATGACTGTGAGGTCATGGTTCGATGCGGGTCACGGAGACATGTTGTCTGAGACATTGCAGCGCCTGACAAACAAGAAGATGAAAGTCTTGAAAGGCGTCGACAAGGACAAATTGGATCGTGTTCTACAGATGGCGAGAACAGGTGCAGTTGCTGTCATCTTAGCCTTTGTCAACAACGAACTGGTGCCCTACATGAACACCTGGTCAACAGATCTTCGGGACAAGCAGTCATCAACTGACGGTGTGATGTCTTCTTCAACTTGTGTCATGCACTTGACGGATGCAAGCGGTCACGGGCAAGAAGCTTTGATTGGGATGTTAAAGGACATCGATGCATTCATGAGTTCGACAAGTGAGAAACTCAGGTCATCGGAGACATCACCAGAAAACCTGAGCACGTTGCCAACAACATGGGCTGTCAAGACCAAGGCTATGAGTGCTTCTTTGGCAGCTTGCGTGGCCAAGGCCCAGGTGGGGGAGAAAGGTGATGACCTGGTTGACCGTGTCAAGTCTGCGGTGGCTGATGCTGGTTCAGCGCTGGCGAAAGTGTTGCAAGATGGGGTACAAGACGATGCTTGGGCCAGTGTGCTGGTGTGTGTGACCTGTCTTGTAGATGTGGTGACCGAGGGCAAGGCAAAGAAAGAGTTACTGACCGGCGAATTTCCTGAGGCTGTGGAGTCTGCCAAGCTGTATTCCACCATCTTGGGTGATGAGGTTGGTGCGTCCGTGCTTGCGGGCATTGAGGCAATTTCGACTTTTGTGACCGCCATGGTGTCAGTGACTTCGTTGGATCAGCTTGTTGCTGCAGGTGATCCGGATGAGCAGACAATGGAGACCCAGTCACATGAGTTGATCCGGACGGCTCGGAAGCTGGATGAGCTGACGGTTGAGAAGCTGACTACATCCGTGAGTGAGCTCAACAAGGAGAACATCCCGATATCTTCCGAAACCTTGTCCAAGGTCGGCTCCATCTGCCAGCAACTCATCGAACGAGGACAACACGAGTTTGCTAAGATCACGAAGACGTGCCAGGACCGGTTGTCAAAGTCTTTCATCGCTGACTCAGACGTTGACATCCCTGAGTTCGTGCATAAGATGGAGTCATATGACCAACTCGATGGTGAGATTGAGAATATCAAGAAGGCTTTTGATTTGACAGTCGCCGGCAACATCAGTTCCCAAACTACGGATTTGGGTTCGACTATCGACTGTGTGAAAGAGTTGGCCACCAGCTTGGAAGTGGATGCCTCCGAGATTGTTGAGCTGACCAAGTTCGAGACGTCATACAGAAACGGCATCAGGTGGATGGGAACCTGCAACATTCTCTACCTCTTGATTTCCAAGGCAGTGTCGCGGGCAGTGCTGGCTGGCAGCAAACCTAGCCAAAAGGCTATCGTGCAGTTCACTGATGCCACGAAGGTTTGCTCAGATCAAGGCGTCGAGTTGCCTGCGGGATTGCAGGCTCTGATTACAAAGGTCATTCGTGCCGAGGAATCGGATGCACAACCGGCACAGCCCAAAGAATCCAAATGATGGGGCATAGCCCGCATGTGATTATAATTTGCTGTTACGGCACACACGAGCAGCTGAGCTTGCTGTTGTGATGTGATGATGATGTGCAATGTGCAACCCAGTAAGATAATATGATTCGATATTATGATAATTGTACAGTGCCTAGTGCCCAGGTCACAGTAGATTTGAATTGTACAAATTATGTGATCTGATATGATATGTATTATGTATTATGTATCATGTAGTCATGTATCATGTATCATGTGTCTCTGAGTTCGTGCAAGCTCACATCCGCGGGAGCAAAGTAGCGTACAGGATCGGGCTACTGTGGCAGCGGATGAACGTTTCAGAATTTCAGCCGCAGCAGATGCAGGACAACGCCAAGCCACCCCGTTGGTTCGTTAGGAGTTAGGAGTAGCATGTGTAGAGACATATGGGCCCTAGGTGAGGTGTTCAGTTTGTGAGTGTTTGATTGTTGGGCTCGGTCCCGGTACCATAGGCCACATTGGCGTTGCAGTTCTCAGGCGCTTTGGGAAGGCGCAATAGTTGGATGGATGGCAATCACTAGCTGCTGTCCCAGTGTTCCAATTTGCAAGTCCAATCCAAATTCAGCTGTACGGCTGGCATAGTGCCGAGTCATGTGGCTCGATGAGACGGATCTCTCGCAAGTGATGCAAGCAAGCTGACAAATATAATGAGTGCCGAGTGCTATCAGCGCTGTCATCATCTTCGATCATGTCGCGTTGTGCTGCACTTGCACATCTGCAGTTCCCAGGCACGATCCGGCATGCGAGTTTCGAGTTTGGTTGGAGCAAGCTGTTTGTCGATGCTGATGTTGCAAATTTTGGCTAGTGATGCTTAGCTTTTCGGTAGTCGTAGACACGGCAGACAGTTCAGTGCAGTCAGTCGTCGATCGGGATACGTGAGACACATGCGTGTGGACCTTGTGAACCTGAGTCCCTGAGTCCCTCATGATTATGACACTTTTTGAGAGACTCTGAGAGACTGTGATTCACACTGTGTGGACCTTGTGCATGTGCGGCCATCTGCTATGGCAAAGGCAAAGCCGGCAAAATCGAAACCTGCTGGGCCGCCGCCTGCGGCGAAAGTTAAATCCAAGGCCAAGGCGACTGCGTCTAAAGCGTCTCTGACCCCTCCGCCTGCTAAAGCTGCGAAATCCAGAGCCACTCCACCACGGGCGGCAGGGACACGTATGGAGCAGATTCAGCGAGCAGATGAACAGACAGGTGAAGTTCGTTCAGTGACCTTGGTAACTCCACCACCTCCGGCGAAGCGGCCATCAGACGTGATTGATGTTGCTGCTGACAGGTTCTGGAAGAATCTCCGCCGCGGTGGTGACAGTGGCAGTGGGAATCCAATGCAAGTGGCGGCGGCATCGTCTGCTACCACCTCACCGACAACCGCCTCCTCGTCAGCTGCGCCTCGTGACGCTGGGGCTGGGACAACAGAGCAGGACGAGACTTTAGGCCAGCAGGACGAGATTCTTGTCACTGGAGCAGCCGGAGCAGCAGAGACCCAGCAGACAGCTGAGACCGCTGTCGAGCAGACAGCTGATACCGCTGTCGAGCAGACAGCTGATACCACTGTCGAGCTAGACAAGGCGACTGAAGCCGCCATTCTAGCTGAGCTGGAAACACAGCTCGTGGACACGGATCGGGACAGCCACAAGGCTGCGGCTGGAGATGAGTTTGATGATCATCTGGCCAACCTGGCTGCGGATGATCACAGCACCGGCAGCGCACACAACGCAGATGGCGGTGGCGAGTCCGGCGACGCTGACGAGTCCGACAGCGACGGCAGATCACTTGATGAGTTCCAAGAGGCCCAGGCGGAGGCCAGTGACATGGAAGATGATGTTGGTTTGGCAGTGCCATCGTGGAGACAATGGGCCAATGCAGCTTAGACTTAACCAGTTGGGTCAGTTGGGTCCTGGTTGTTGCAATTGCCACTGAACCTGCGTGAGTCAGTCGTCAGTGTGAGGCCAAACTGCATCGGGTATTGACTTCGGTGTCGAACGAGGTCCTGGCGACTCACATGCGTACGTTCCCGACTAACGTTGCTTTGATGTCTGGGTGTACCGGGAGTGGTTGCTTTGAGATGGCAGCAAAAGCTACGTTCGCCACGCTCTCGAAGCACTTCGATCTGGAGATCAACGTACTTTTGCTTGCACATCATGGCTTATGACCTGTGACTTGTGACATACGGTAGCCAGTATTATGCAGCGTCTAGACTCTCTTAAACACTGCACTGCACTACTAGAGTCAGACGGTCTAGAGTCTAGAGTCTACAGTGCTCAGATATCCATCAAAGTCTATCTATTATTAGTCACTAGTCTATTACTAGTCTATCACTATTACGACCATGACTATTACTGTTACTATTACTAGTCAGTCAGTCAGTCACAGTCTATTAAATGCTACTAGAGTCACTAGAGTCTAGAGTCTAGGTCCGGTCTAGGTTCGGTTCTTTTACAATTTGTCTGAGTCGGAGTTGATCAGTCTACGGTCTACGTGTATCTATATTATGCCGGCGCGGCACATGCACGATCAGGTCCTGGTCCTGGTAGTAGTAGTAGTAGGAGGAGGAGGAGTCGTAGTCAAGTCGTAGCCGGAGTCGTAGTATTAGAGTCTTAGTCTTAGTATTTATTTTGGCCTTAACCCTTAGCCTTAGCCTTAGGTTTAGTAAGTCTTAGTTTAAGTCATCTAGTAGAAGTAGTCAGTAGTCACACACCACAGTGTGGCATTTGAGTCACATGCCTTGACTGTGATCAGAGGCCTGGGTTCGGATTCGGATCAGTAAAACTGAATTTAAATAAGACATGGTATATTTATATAAATATATTATACAGTAATAGTACAGTAGACTGAGTAGATCGATGATCGAGGTCTGAGTTTAAGTCTGTGTCAGAGTCTGAGTCTGAGCCTAAGTTTAAGTCTGACTCACTTGATTTTGTGTTTCGGGAGGGAGGTGTTTAACAGAGTTGTTTGAGTGTTTTAGGAACTGTCAGGCTAAACCGATTGTTTCACAAATTAAAATAATTGAAATTTCAAAATGCATAAAGCTCTATGTGTTTGGAGTCTATGAGGTTATGGCGGCTCGGATTTCGACTTAGTTCAGATAGAGATTGATGATGTACGTGTAGGTACTAGCGCTAGTAGTAGTAGTATCGTCATCGTCGTAGGTCCGTAGGTTGCGGTTTTAGGTTTTAATGAGTGTATAAGGTAGTGAGGTAGAGTTCACGCAACGTTTTGGAATGGTGCCGGGATACGCTGTGAACTTAAAGCCATCGGCTTAGGATTGAATTGCTGTTGTCGTTGATCATTCAGTGCTACCTGAGGTGAACACTCAGTGGACTTCCGAGATTACTCCCTGGAAGCAGAAATTTCTCATGAATAACGTCCTGGCGCACGAGGCCAGCTTTCGCAATTGAAAGCTATGTCAGCCTCCAGCTACGTGATTCAGCCATTCGGCAGGACAACTGTTGTTGCTTCACCGACATTACAAAGATTGACAGCGACGCCGAGAGGTGGTGTGTGCGACATGGGAAACACTGCGTAGCTGTGCTTGAACTTGAATCATCACGCCAGGCAGTCTGTTGCAGTCATGTCTAAAAATTCTGCTGTGTTGACCTGAGATTCTGTTGTGTTGTGGTGCACGGCCTATAAGGAAATTGAATCGTTTGGATGCGGGAATGGTGTCCACACCTTTTCGTTGTTCTGTGCTGGCTTCAGTTGCAAGTCACTTGGAATAATTGAATAATTGGCTGTGCAGTTTAGGTCAATTACAGTTGACAGAGTGCATGACTGTGATTTCCCCAATCCCAGGTCATTCAGCAGAATGAACAACGACTTTGAGATGTTACGCCGAGCGATCAGCAGAATGAACAACGACTTTGAGATGTTACGCCGAGCGATGGCGGATGACTCTGCCACTGAACTTGATTCAAACTAAACACATGCTCAGTTTGTTCAGACCTGCATTGAGATGTGCTTGTATGTGGTGAGGACTGCTCATCAGTCAATACCTTCAAGGGCGTGTGCTCTTGCTTGGATCAATCCCAGCCTATGGCATTCATTTTGGAGAATGTTGACACAATGGGCTCGGACACCACAGAAGAGGATGTTGGGTTGCCGTGAAGCAATTACTTTGCACTGCTTATCCGGAGCATCTGTTGTTGCTGCGCTGTGCTCACAATTAGTCTCTGAATGCTGTCAATGTCGTAGTAAGTAAGGTCCAACAATGTGTCGATTGCCGTCAGCTACCTCAAGCACATGGGGTATCACGTTGTGGTTGAGAAAATGATGTCCAACAGCCACGGCGTGCCACAGCGCAGATGTCGCCTCTACTTCATAGGGCTC